GCAATAGGCTTGTTGGTCCAGTCGATCGATTGGACCAACAGGCTAGTTGGTCTAGCCGGTCCATTGGACCAAAAGGCCAATTGGTCGAGCTAGTCAATTTGACCAACAGGCGAGTTGGTCCAGCCGGTCCATTGGACCAACAGGCCTGTTGCTCCAACCGGTACATTGAACCAAGAGGCCGGTTTGTCCAACCGGTCCATTGGACCAATAGGCCAGTTGGTCTAGTCGGTCTTTTGGACGAAGTGGCTAATCGGTCCAGGCGGTCCATTGGACCGAAAGGCCAGAAGGTCCAGCTAGTCCGTTGGACGAGCAGGACCGTTGGTCCATTCGGTCAATTGGACCAACACGCCAGTTGGTCCAACCGGTGCATTAGACCAACAGGCGTGTTGGCCCAGCTGGTCCATTGGATCATTAGGCTCGTTGGTCGAACTGGTCCATTGGACGAAGAGGCCTAATTGTCCAAGCGGTCCATTGGACCACCATGCTAGTTGGTCAAGCCGGTCCATTGCACTAACAAGCCAGTTGGTCTAGCCGGTCCATTGGACCAACAGGTCAGTTGGTCCAACCAGGGGACAGAGTTCTAAGGGGAGTTCAAGAAGCTTTTGGACGAGGCGGGGATTATGCACTGGCCCACGTCACGCTATCACCCACAAAGTGATGGATTGACAGAGCAGCTGGTTCATACTCTCAAGAGAGGGCTTAGGGCATATGGGGAGAAGAGGAAGCGGGACTGGGATGATGAATTACATTGGGTGGCAGCGAGATACAGATTCGGGAAGCAGGCGGCTTTGAAGGATCACTCGCCTTACAGCCTCCTGTTCGGCTGTGAACCAGTCTTGCTCGTAGGAGCCCGCGGGTCCTCACAGACACGGTGAAAGCAGGCAACATTCCCAACTGGGTTGCACTTTCAGAAGCCAGGGCCAGGTACCTGCGGGTGGTTATGTCAGCAGCGCTGGAGAACCTCCACACTACACAGCTGAGGGATGCCAGGCGATATGAGCAGCGACAGAATCAAGGGTTGGGGGGCAGAGTGAAGAAGGGGGTGAGCCAGGGGCAAGAAGTGTACCTGAAACGGGCGAAGCAAGATACCTTGGATGTCGGGGTGGGGTTAGAGAGATGGAGGGTGAGGGAAGTGCGGCCCTTAGGAATATTGGTGTTGGAGAACGACAAGGGAGCACAGTTGAAGGAGCACCAGAGCAACACCGCCCAATTTATGTCAGCTGTTCTCACTTGTGTTACTCACCCCGCTCCTTCACCTCGCGCAAAATCCGGACTCGGTCGCAGGGTGGCGTCTGCTGCTGTTTCTCCCTCGGCTCACTCTTCGCCAAACGTCGCCTAGAAGACCGAAGTGGCCCGAAGTCAAAGCCCGTCTCAGAGCTTTCCAGCGTGGCGAATGGGGGCAGCTGTACTCTGGCAGAATTGCAGCCATCAATACCCCACCGCCAACACGTCACCAGCCAGACGAGGCGGGAGTACTCAGCAGGGCAGAGGGCCTGGCCAAGCGTGGAAGTCTACGGCGAGCCGTGCTGGCCCTCGAGTCAACCCCAGTCTGCACGCCAGGCCTAGCAATCTTCGCGCAAAACACCCCCGAGCCGACGACGAGGAGCTGAGCTGGCCAACAGCACCTGGCCCGAACCTCCAAATCAGCCACGCCGATTTCTCCAAACTTCTGGGTCGGTGCGAGAATGGGGTGGGGACTGGACCGTCCGGAACCGCTTTCGAACACCTTCGCGCTGCATCTGCAACCAACGCATCGGTCTGCACCCACCTGCATGCCTTGATCAACACTATCCTGACAGGCAAATTACCCGAGCCAGTGGCAGACCTGCTGACAGCCTCACGCCTAATTGCGCTGTCCAAGCCAGGTGGGGGGGTTTGGCCAATTGCAATTGGCGAATGCCTGACGCGCCTCGCGGCCAAGGCAGCTCTGACCGCAATTGGAGAAGCTGCACGTGACCACTTCTTGCCACTACAGTACGGGGTGGCGGTACCAGGGGGAGCAGAGGCAAACATCCATGTCGCACGTGCCTTCATCGACTCGAGGGACGGCTGCGTGGTGCTACAGACCGACATCTCAAACGCTTTTAACAGCATTTCGCGACAGGCAATCATCAACGGGTTACGCGACAACAACCTTTCGTCACTGCTCCCTCTGGTGCGGCTAACGTACGGTAACCCATCGAAGCTGTACCTCGACTTGAACTTCGCCAGCAACCCGCTAAATAGCGAACGCGGGGTGAGGCAGGGGGACCCACTCGGCCCTCTACTGTTTGCAGCAGGGATTCACCCAGCACTTCGCGAAACTGCGGACGCACACCCCCACGTTCTTTGCTTGGCGTATGCAGACGACGTGACATTTTTGGGGGACGACACGGACACTGTAGCAGCATTCAATTTCTTCACAAGCAAGCTAGCGCAGCTGGGCCTTAAACATAATCCACAGAAATGTGCGGCATGGAGCACAAGGGGCGACGATCCAATTCAGCTGCCACCAGGGGTCCCGTTTTCCAAGGACGGGATACGCCTTCTAGGCAGCTTCCTGGGGCCAGCGGCGGGCGCGGCCAAATTCCTGGCGGGGCAGCTAGAGGAAATGGCGAAGCCGCTGCCGCTCTTATAACGTGCCGGCCCCCAAGTAGCCTCCCTGCTCTTGACCTGCTGCATTTCCAGACGCGTCGCATACCTCACTAGGACTACACCACTGAACCTCCTACCACGAGACACCTGGGCACAGTGGGGGAGAGTGTCAGTAGATCTGCACTGTGGATGCCCGATTGATCCTGGAGAGGGTTACAGGCGCGTTCGCCTGGGGGGTTATAGGCGCACTGACCCGCTACTAAAACAAGCCCTTTTATCCCAATGGTCTAGTGGTTGGGATTCTGACATGGTATCAGAGCGGTCTCGGGTTCGAGTCCCGGTGTATGCACATGTAGGCCGTTGCCGCTGTGCTTAGTCCTGGACCTCCCAGTGTGGGGGGGTGTCAGTAGATCTGCACTGTGGATGCCCGATTGATCCTGGAGAGGGTTACAGGCGCGTTCGCCTGGGGGGTTATGGGCGCACTGACCCGCTACTGAAACAAGCCCTTTCATCCCAATGGTCTAGTGGTTGGGATTCTGACAGAGAGACCTCCTAGCCGCGCTCCTGACATCCTGCGGGATTAGAGTCCCTACTTGTAGCACGGAGCAGTTGAGAGTGTGGGCGCAGGCCTCGCTTCCATCATCCTTGGGCGGCCTAGGAATCACGGACCCACTCGTAGAAGGCGTCTACGGCTTCATAGCCAGCTTCACACAGGCCGCGCTCTTCTTTTCCTCCCTGACGCTAGCACCAGCCACAGCACTAACCCGAGCACACGGCCACATGATTCTGCCCCGGGACGTCACCACACCGCTTCACTTCTGGCTCACAGAGTGCGAGACTGCCCTGCCCTCTGACGCACGCGACGTAGTTTACCAGGAGCGGCTCTCTCGGTCGGACATCAAGCTCCAGCACACTCTGGCCCTGAAATTACAGGGGAGTAGGTACGCGGTACAGGTCCAAGAGACGAGACGAATGAGACTGAATCCACTCTCTGGGCACACACAGGGAATGTTCTCACTCACAGGCTACGGCACAAGGGTCTGGCTGACGGCGATACCGGTAGCGTCCTCACGTCGCATCGGCCCGGTACACTTCAGCAACGCCGTGCGCTTCCGGTTGGGCCTCCCTTTCTGTACTCCGAAGAAGTGTGACTGTGCAGAACACATCGCTATCACAGACCCGCGCCTCCCCAACCACCTCTTCCGGTGCGCCACGGGGAAGCACCGGACGAATACTCATAACGAACTCCGCAACGCGTGTATCAGCATGGCGCAAGATGCGGGGTTCATAGTACATAGGGAGACAAACGTCTACTGCCCCATAGAGGAGCAGACGGCAGATTTTACCATGACAGACAAAAGTAGTGGGGCGGTTTGGGTGTGTGATGTCACGGTCACAGATCCTATTAGCACCAGGGACCCGGAGGCACGGAAAGGCAGGGGATGGGCAGCCCGGGAGCAGGCGGATAAAAAGATGAAGCACTATGAAAACTGGCCAGAGACAGTAGGTTTCTTTCCCCTCGCAGTGGAGACCTACGGCTGCCCTTGTGCTGAGGTCCCTGTGTTCCTGAAACTCCTTGCAGACACGGCGGCTCGGCGATACTTCAACGTCGACTCCAAATCCTATCATGCCGCGAAGTTCCTGCACCAGTTCAGGCAGAGGTGGTCGGTTGCACTGCAGAGGGCCCAATCTGTGGGTCTCATGATCAAGTTAGGGGAGGCGGCTGTTGCAGAGAACCCACCTGTAGGAGGGATAGGGCAGGAATTATACCTTGGGGACTGTTTTACTGTCCTGGAGCCTCTTCTTGAGCTCTAGGTGGCACAGAAGGGTTGGATAGTCTAGGCTACCCTGCATATTAGCACCTTGCTGTCTCTCATTGCATGTGTGTACCCTTCTGGCTTATCAATATACGGACCATTGCATATGTTATAACAGTAGAATGCAGGTGTAGTTATGATGCTAAGATAAGGACTATATGTGTAGGAAAGCTTATACAATGATACTAGCATAGGTGTGTAGAATGTAGCGATATGATTGTTGTAGAGGAGTGTAGTAGGGGGGAACCGAATTGAAGCGGTTGGAATCACGGGGGAAAGGGACGGAAGGGCGAATTGTGAAATCAGGGAACACCAATCCCGAGCCGCACATTTGGGAAATGTGCAGCTTGTCATCTAAGCTCTAGCACACCGTGGCAGTCACTAAGAGAGGAACCTATGGGTTGAGGGAGGGAGCTCTTTCATAACAAGCCTAAGGACTGAACCGGCGCAAGTATGGATAAATATGAATTGCGTTTGGGGTAGGATGTTTAGCCGTCGCGAGGAAGAACGGCCGCAAAGCGAGCCGTCACGCGAGCGAGGGCGATCGGTAGAGCGATCGCCATGTAGGCCGGCCTTCCGCGCAGATCGAGTTCCCTTAGCCCGTGACCGTCAAGAGGAAGCAGCGACGGGCGCTGCGAGGAAGGGAGGTTCCGCTCCCAAGAGGGGCGAGGACGGCGCCGTGACGACCGCGGCCGTTGGCAGGGCTTCGGGGAATTTCCCCGGGAACGAGAAGGAGATGCCCGCGGCGACGACCGCACGGAGGGCACACCGGACGGCGCGGGGCCAGTGGTGGAGGGAGCGCTAGACGCAGAAGCGGACGAGGAGGGCCAGGGGCTGCAGGACGAAAGCGCCAAGGAGGGAGATGACGACGAAGACCGGGCCGCGGAATTCGACGAGCACGGCGATGACGCGGAACACGCCGAACACGCACAGGCGGACGAGAACATTGGCGCGAGCCAGGCGGAGGGATAGCACGGCCGCGAGGCCAGCAGTGGGGAAGAGCAGCGCGCCAAGGACGCGCTTCAGCAGGAGCGGATAGCCCAAGATGAGAGGGAGCGCGAGACGCGGAGACAAAGGCAGCGGGGCGCGGGAAGGGCGGAGCGGATCCACGCGCCAGAAAGAGAGCAGCAGCGTGGAGACGGACGTGGAGGGGATTCCAGGGCGCATGACCGATGGGGAGAGCGGGGAGATTGGAGTGGCGACGGCGGGTAGCCGCTGGAGCGGCAGCAGGCACGCAGGAATCGGTGGGAGGATGAGCCGCGCGCTCCAGAGACATATGGGCGCCCAGGGAGGAGAGACCGGGCGGAGCAGTGGCCGCAGGAGCAGCGCTGGAGGCTGTCAGTGGAGCGCGGCAGCGCGACGCGCGGGCAGGAGCGGACCAGGCAGGGAGGGAGGAGGGACAACAGCGGGTCCCGTTCGCCAGAGGGGCGCCGCCAGAGAAGGGGCAAGGAGGAAGAAGACGGGCACTCGCTTGAGCACCGCCAACAGCCCAGTGGACGTGGGGAGGCCTGGTCATCGTCGCCAGAGAGACGTAGGCACCGCGAGACAAGCAGAGGAGAGGGGCGGAGGATGTATGGCCCGCCGACACAGCAATGGGCTCGGACGAAGGAGTGGGGAGGGCCAAAGGAAGGGTGTCGTGCGGCGGAGTGGAGTCGGCCAGAGAGCGGGAGCCTGGTGTACGGTGCGGAGCGGGCACGGGAGGCCAGAGAGGGCATGTTGAAGGCAAGGGCGAGAGGGGTGGGGAGCAGTCGGCCGGGTGGATATAGCGAATCGTGGGGAGAGGGGCGGGGGGGTGCTGCTAGCGCGCCTCGTGTGGAGGTGCCCGCTAGGTTCTCAGAAGACCAACGCGCGGGGCCGACCCTCAAAAACTACTTGATGCAAGTGGGGAATCTGCGGTACCGCTGGGATAGGCACAATGTAGACCCCGTAGACTTTTTCCTGAGTTTACCCAACACGCTGGAGGGAGAGGCAGAAACGCTGTACCGCATGCGGATGGAGGAATTGCTATGGAGGGCAGGGAAGTATGGAGAGAACCCCACCGAGGCGTTTCTGGAGCGGCTACAGCGGCAGTTCCCAGGGCATACGGCGGAGCGGATAAGGGAGTTCCAAGAGTTCCGGAGGGGACGGGCGGAGTCCCTGCTGACCTACTACAATAGGTTGATCAACGTGGCAGAGGACGTGAAGTGCGCGGACAACAGCCTGCTCATTAGCAAGTTCCTGGGAGGCTTGGACGAGGCATTGGGGGGGGGGCTGAGGATGAGGGGAGACGAGTTAGGGGCAGAGGCGGCTCTGGAGGAGGTGTTTGAGTTGGCCGGGAAGGTAGAGCTGGCGTAGCAGAAATATGAAGCCTACCTCCCGAAGCCAACAGAGAGAAGCCGCTGGCCAACATGGGCGGCAGCCATGATACCTGAGGAGTGTTGGAGTGGTTCGCGGAACCACACTAACGACGGCGCTCATAATTCAGACTGACGACTACGACGGACTGACAGTGGCGTGTTGAAAGTGCCTTGGGAACCAGAGAGGAAGCTCGACATTGCTTGGGAACTACGGCAAGAGAAACACGAAAGGAGTGAAGAAGATTATTGACGGGTGAAAAGAGAAGTGAAGAACCAGGGAGAAATTGGTTGACGGGGGAAAATGAGTGGGTAAACTGTGGCGTGTTCAACAAGGAACCAAATGCGGACTTCAGGCGCGTTCGACGAAGGTGGAAAAGGTTGTGTGTGCGACGCGGGATGAAACGAGGCAAGGCGTAACGTGTTGAACACGTTTGGTTACCTAGCTCACTTGTGTACCTTGCTTGAACCTATATATTTGTTGTACCAGTTTGTTGGAGTGACACTTTTTGGAAATTCTCTCGCTTCAAATTGTGTTGCACACTGATTGGTCGAAATTTGTGACACATCGTAAGACTCCCGTCAGATTCGCGTCAAACCTACGGAGAAGCCTTTGTGAAGGCTTAGGCAAGCAACAGTGATAGAAATTTCAGCCGCGAGACTCCCGTCAAAGCCCCGCGAAGGGCCGAATCTGTTTCACTCGAGTGTAGGGCCCGTGAATGCCCCGTGAAAGCCATGCGAAGCTGATTTCGAAATCAGGACGCATCAGGATCGCGTGAAGGGCCCGTTCAGGCCCCGTCAAGGCCGCGTCAGCCTCCCGTGAGGCGTTTCGCGACTAACAAGGAGAAGGGGAGGGCGGACCCGCGAGGGGAGATGCGGGCACATACCCACACAAGCCACCGCTGCGGGCAGGTGGGGCACCTCCGTAGGGACTGCAAGGTTTGTGATGGCTGTGGGAAGCTGGGGCACCGAAAGAGGGAATGTCCTGATGCAGCTCGGTGCGAGATCTGTGGGAAGCGGGGGCATGATGCCAAGGAGTGCTATCAGAAGGAAGGGGGAGTGAGGAGGAATCCAGAGGAGCTGCAAAGGCAGATCAGCAGGTTACAGTCTCAGCTGCAAGCCATGGGGCCTAGGTGGGAGGCCGAGGCAGGAATGTACGCCAGGGATGATGAAGGGGAGGAGGTGGAGCCGGATGCTCAGTGTGCCCTGATGGCATGGAGGGGGAGAGAAGAGATGGGGCTGCGGAGCGGGGGACGGGATGGCAGGCAGGAGCACGGCAGGAAAAAGCGGGAACGAGGACACCAGCCCGACCCTATGGCGCAGGAGAATCCTCCTGCCCACCACCTGCAAGAGAGACTGGCATGTCAGACGTCGGTGCTACTAGTGGGGGCAGGAGCAATGGAGGTAGAAGGGAGGAAGGTGAAGACGGCCATCATTGATACAGGGACACAGAGCGTGATGTTAGGCAAGGGAATGGCAGAACGGCTAGGACTGATGGCCCCGGAGAGGCAAGTGGCAAAGGGCATATTGGTGATGACAGCAGAAGGGGGGGAGCCGAAGTGGATGCCATGCACACGGACACCCATAGAGCTGACCCTGCTGCCAGGAGGGGAGCAGGAAACCCGGATCAGGATGAAATGCGGGATTTCAGAATTCGAAGACTTTGATGTGTTGGTAGGGACGGAGATAGTGTTTGCGGTGGGCATGAGCATTTGCACCTGGACAGAGAAGGTAGAATTCCGCACGAGGTACTGGAAGGAGGGGCCCTTGGGGCAACTGCCAGTGCAATTTGTTAGGGTGGAGCCAAAAAGGGCATACCAGGCCCGCGCAAAAGAGGATGTGGGGAAGCAGCAGACAGGGGGAGAGGAACAGGTGGGGGCAGAGGAGATCAAGGAGGGGCCTAGGATGAGGCTGATGGACGCCCCATAGAAGCAGAGCAACTGGCAGCAGCCCATTTGCTTGGTGGAGCTGTTCGGCGGAATTGGGGCAGGGCTGGCAGCGGTGGTCCGGAATGGGATAGTGGTGCAGCAGTGGATCTATGTAGAGCGAGCGCCAGAGGTGAGGAGGATGGCGGAGCATCATGCGTGGAGGCTGCAGGCCGAGTTCCCAGAGCTCCTGAGCGCGGCGGTGATTCAGGGTGCCATGAGCAGCACCCTCCATGACGTGAGCCAGGTGACAGAGGCGCAGGTGGCCAGCTGGGGGCAAGTGGATCTACTGGTAGCAGGATGGGAGTGTCAAGGGGTGTCATGGGCTAGAAAGGGGAAGGGAGGAGAAGACTCGAGGACGAAGCTGATGGAGAGTCTGTTCCACATTTTGGAGTGGCTGCAAGAGAGGCAGGGAAGGGTGGCGTACCTGCTAGAGAATCTGGACTTGGAAGGAGATTGCCGCGAGCCGATCCGGTTGGTGAGAGAGAGAATCAGCAAACAGTTGGGGAAGGGGGTCAGCTGTGACGCAGCTAGGATGGGGTCTTATGCACATCGGCTCAGGATGTATTGGCAGAACGTCGCCACGGTGCTGCAACTGCAAGAAGAGGTGGAAGGGGTGAAGAGAGCGGCGGACAGAAGGGTGCAGGACATTTTGGAACCAGGGCGGACTCCTGCACCAGTGAGACAGGCACACTGCCCGTGCAACCAGGTGGGGCGAGAGAGGAGAGCCCTGCCCACCTTGGTGTCGTATGTGGGGGCAGCCGGCTACAAGTGGGATGGGGGAAAGCCGGGGCCAGGTTTGGTGTATGATCACAGACAGGGGCGGTGGGAGGAACCGACGGCGTTAGAGAGAGAGTTGGCCATGGGGTACGGGGAGAACGTGACAGCAGCCCCAGGGGTGAGTGAAGAGGAGAGGAGGAGGGCACTGGAGAACGCCATGGATGGGCATATGATGAGGTGGCTGGTTCAAAGGATGTGGAGGGAGACGGTCTTGAGCTGGGGGCATGAGGCCAAGGGAACGGATGCGGTAGCGGTCCCACAAGGAGCATGGGCATGCAGGGAGGAAGAGAGACCACAATGGACGGTGGGAGAGGCGCTGAGTAAAGAGGGAAGGGGGGCAATGCCGGAGCTGCTGCACAAGCACAGGAAGTGCTTTGCCTTCACGCTGCAGGAGTTGGGACGGTGCAAGGTGAAGGAGATGGAGCTGAAACTGAATAGCACGGAGCCGGTGTTTCATCGCAGGAGGAAGATGCCGCACGGGGATGAGGAAATATGCAAAGAGAAGATTAAGGAGCTGCTGGAAGCAGGACTGATTAGACGCTCCGAATCTGAATATGCTACGCCAACAGTGGTGGCTGCAAGGAAGGACCTGACAGAGGAGGTACTGAGCAGGAGGATGTGTGGCAACTACAGAGCGCTCAACAAGATTACCATAGCCGACACGTACCCGATGCCGATGGCGGAAGAAATCTTTGACAGGCTAGCAGAAGGGGTCTTCTTCACGACGCTGGACCTGCGGCAGGGGTTCAATCAAATCAAAATCAGAGAGGAGGACATAAAGAAGACTGCGTTCCATGGGCCCGATGGGCTGTAAGAGTGGCTGTACATGTCTTTTGGATTGAGGAATGCGTCAGCCGTGTTCCAGGGGGTTATGGATGCGGTGCTGCAAGATGTAGACTGCGCGGCCTGCTGCATAGATGATGTGGTGATCTTCAGCACCACTGAGCAGCAGCACCTGCAAGATGTGGGGAAGACGCTGGCGGCGCTAGAGGCAGCAGGGCTTACATGCCACCCCAAGAAGTGCAGGTGGGGGGAGCAGACGGTGCAGTACCTGGGATACAAGGTGAAAGGGGGGCAGATTGGGATCCAGCAGGCAAAGGTGGAGGTCTTGGACCGGCTGCGGGAGCCCAAGGACAAGTCGGGGCTCAGGGCAGTGCTGGGCTTCCTGAGCTACTATCGGCGGTTTGTACCCAACTTCAGCAAGCGAGCAGCAGCGTTGAATGGGCTATTGAGGGAGGACAGGGCCTGGGAGTGGGGGGAAGCACAGAAGGGGGCGTTGCAGGACTTGATGGCCGCAGTGAAGACAGCCACCGTACTGCAACTGCCAGCTGCAAACCAGCCCTTCACCCTCTACACTGACTGGAGCAGCCAAGGGATTGGGGGGATACTTTGCCAAGAGGTGAAGGGAGAGAAGAAGGTAGTGGCCTACACGAGCAGAAGCTGCAATTCGGCGGAGGCGCAGTACAGTTCCTACATTG